GGGTTGGGAATAATCCAGAATTCCCAGATAACTCAATTTTCCCACCTGTTAAACCCACTCCCGCTCCCCAGAATTTGCCTCCCAACAATCCCCAGCTGCTCTTTTCCCTGCAGGATTAAAGGAGCTTTAACAAAATCCGGGATTAATTTGGTTTCCAGCGGGCTGCAGAGGGAAGCTCAGCTTCCTCTTCCCAGTGCTGATTTTCCATTACTTTTTCGGGAAGAGCATCCCTGGAAGAACCTGCAGAGGGCCCTGGCAGAGCTCGGCCGGGATGGAGCTCCCCCTTGGAAAAGTAGGAATTAAAATCAAAAATGCTGCCAAAAACCGGGAGTTTTGCTCTCCCCCTGCCTGCTCTGGTCCAAACTCATCCAATTCCCTGGGAATGAACGGCTGGAGTCACACCCAGCACGGATTAACTGGGAAAGGAGGATACAGAGGTACTTGGGGGGTATTCCTGGTTGGAACTATTATCCCATGGCTCTGGAATTGTTATTCTGCAATTGTTATTCTGCAACTTTGGAACTGCCATCTTCTGAAATCATCCCCAGCTCTGGAATTGTTATCCTGCAATTGTTATTCTGTAACTTTGGAACTGTCATCTTCTGAAATCATCCCCAGCTCTGGAATTTTTATTCCCAGCTTTGGAATTGTTATCCCACAGCTCTGGACATGTTATCCTGCAATTGTTATCCTGCAACTTTGGAACTGTCATCTTCTGAAATCATCCCCAGCTCTGGAATTGTTATTCCCAGCTCTGGAATTGTTATCCCATGGCTCTGGAATTGTTTTCCTCTGGAAYTGTTATCCCCCAGSTTTGGACCCATTATCCCATGGCTCTGGAATTGTCATMCTCTGGARYTGTTTTTCTCTGKAATTGTTGTSMCCAAGATCTGGAATTGTCATCCTCTGAAATGATCCCCATCTCTGCAATTGTTATCCACTGTGATTGTTCTCCTGCAGCTCTGGAATTGTCATCCTCTGGAACTGTCATMCCAAGATCTGGAATTGTCATCCTCTGAAATTATGCCCAGCTCTGGAATTGTAATCCTGCACCTCTGGAGTTGTTATCCTCAGCTCCAGAATTATTTTCCTCTGGAATGTTATCCCCAGCTCAGGAATTGTTATCCCATGGCTCTGGAATTGTTCTCCTGCAGCTATGGAATTGTTATCCCCAAGATGTGCAATTGTTATGCCCAACTCTGGAATTGTTTTCCTCTGGARCTGTTATCCCATGGCTCCAGAATTGCTTTCCTC